TACACCATATTGTTAAAAGTGAATAGGTATTTAAAGAGTTTCCTCCCACTTTTTTTTACATTCTTGTTTTTTTTGTCTCTTATTGTTATACAACTTCAAAATGGACAATCTCGAAAATTACCACTGCAGACCCAATAGCGACACCCCCCGCAGTTGCAGCCATCTGACCCATAAGGCTCGGTCCACGAGACTCAGTTGGTGCAGCCATTGTCATTCCTGCTGGCCGGGGCGCACCATAAACTGAACCCCCCATCGGAGTTGAATGAGTTGCAGTTGACTGAGGTGCAGCATAGCTCCCAGAGCTAGCCTGTTGTCTCGATACGCTTCGTACCGGGGGTGACGGTTTCGGGGCTGCCATACGACGTCGAACCATTTTAAAAACTCGCTAAAAGAAACGAATGTGTTAACAAACCAGAAAGTGCAGAAAGGAATGGCAATGCCAAGTGGAGCAGCATAACAGAACTTTGAAACAAAAACTTTTCAAAGTAAACAAATGTCGAAAAGAAAATGTAAAAACAGGTGTCCAGATGAAAACTTATTATTTCAGCGAATGAAGTTTTGAGAAAACGAAAATTTAATTAAACGAAATTGTGTTCAAAATTACCGCAAAGTCAATCACCAAAATAACACCATTAAAACAAGAATATAAATAATTCGAAAAAAAGAAATTAAAAACTTATTTTGCTTTTACGCAGCCGTATCTTTCTGATTAAAATACTTTGAGCTGCAAAGGAACTTTTATATAGCTGGTTGGAGTGCACTTAGCGTACTCCTGGCAAAACTTCAACAAATAGTTTTTCTGCTCCATTCGCCAACAAGCCTCTTTACTTGCTCAAAAGTATTCACTCTTCTGTTAAACTGTCAAGAAAGAAAAAAGAAAACAAGGAAATCCAAAATTAGAGCACCTAAGACGAAGCATATTGTTGACAAAATTACTGGACCCCAAGAAGTACCAAGACAGAAATACTCTATTAGCTTCACCGCGAGCACTGTCTTAAGACAGCAAAGAAACAACTGTTACAGAAAAAATGATATCAGAGCAGAACTTTTGTACTCAGTGGGCGCACATACAAAGCTTCAGAAGTAGGCGTGGCAGAACAAACTTCCATCCAAATAAGTGCTGCAGCACGTGATTAAGGCGAAGGAGATGCAACTGGACTAGAACCAAAAAAGGAAAAAAATCTGCATTCTGAATTGGTTGAAATTTTCAGTTTCAACTTCAGCAGTGGAAATAATTACCTGCTCAGCTCAGTTAAGTCATGTGCTACAGTTAATAAACCTTTTCTCGACTATTCTTTTGTTCCTGCTGTTTCAGCCGTTGAGGCAGAGACGACGACCTATGACTGTCGGATCTACGCTAGAAAAAGAGCACTTCATATAAGGAGGTCGGTGGCAGTCAAGAAGGATTGGTCTTTATCCAAATTTGGACCACGCCTCTCTTTAACGAGTACTTTATTCCTTTGATTCTCACTGATTTCCTTTATATGGCTTGGCCATAAAGAAACTTTTAGGATTCTAATTTAAGGTTAGATCTGCTTATCTGGACTTGTAATATTCGAGTGTTTATGTCTACTATTCATACACAGCTTTTATTGAATGAATCAGTATAGCACCATTATTCTGTGGAGGGGTGGGTGAGGAACTTCTTAATACTGATTTCCTATTAACAGTGCCATTATTTATGAGCATTTAAGGAGTTAAATAAGCTGAAAGCTTGTTGCATGACAAGTAAACTCGCGCTATAGTTCTCTACTATCTAGTTAATGTTTTTGCCACTAGAAAGTCAGGAAGACAGTTGATCATCGAATTCGATCAGCATCATCTTCCGTCAAGTTAAGTGAAGTTTAAAGTCTCGTAAGAAGCAAAAACTCTGTGGGTCCTTCAGATTGATCAAGTTTTTTAAAGGTCACGCCACTAATTGCTACGTAAAGTAGTATCGTGGTAAGACAAAGATTTCAGGGAGACGTATACAAGAAACAGCTATACAGTAAGTGTTTCCTCAATTGAAAAATTTGTCGTTCAGCTGCGAAAATGACTTCGTCGGTACTTTCACGGTTGGCGGATACACTATAAACATCTTGGAAAGGTTTCAAAAAACGAAGTCCTCTAATTTTCTACACAAAACTGCTTCTCTGAAAAATAATTCATAAGAAGCTGCAAAAAATCTCCAAAAAAGACTTGAAGTATATAGAGCAACATTAAAAAAGTATCATGTCCATTCACCAAACTGCCCTGCTAGAAGCTATTAATTAAGTTCGTTCATTATAAGTAGTAGCAAAATATACCTGTAATACATTGCTTGACAACCACCTCACGAAACTAGCTACTCAACCACTGAAAATGCGCAGCCAATGGAGAGCCCGCAGACGCTGTGCTAAATATAAGCCTCCTAGTCTGGGGAAATATCGCAATACGGCAACATTACTCACCGTTGCTCGCTCAGGAAATCACGCACATGGAGGTAGTCTAAGTCACACTGATATCTAATAATACAGCAGTATACCTTGTTGCAGCTACCTGGCTACTTTTTTCATCGTTCGCTTTCACTCCAACACTCCTCTCCGTGTATCTAAGAGTCTTTAACTATTAAGCTTCACATTGAGCACCAATGGTCATTGATGCTCACAAATTAGCTGCAGTAAGACTGTACGACTTTAAGAACCTTCCCTCAAAAGTAGGATTTATCATGCTGACCACGAATGATTCAAACGAACCGTAATCTAACACCATACCCAAGACAAAAAAATTCTGACAACAATATTCAAAAACTGGTAACAGCTTATTGATGAAGTACAGTAGCTTCCATTTTACAGCAGTTTATTTCCCAAGTAACCGGCTCCAATCAACCCGAAATAAACTAGAAACTAAATTAAAAATTTTATATATAAATGCAGAACAACTCTAAACTTAGTAAAAGAAAAGCCTATCAGTTGACAGGGCTCATAAAATAACAAAAATACAGCAGGAGAGAAAATTAAAATTATGTTAAAAAGAACCGCCACAAGAATTTTGACAAGAGAAAGTTAAAGCTCAGATCTTAGTGACAGAGAACACCAACTCTAATAAACATTTTCTGCAATTATTTACCAGATTCCTAGGAGTGGCTTAGCGCCTGCCCTCCACAGGCTCTCCCCGATAAATGGATCGGTGGTCAATGCTTTTGGAAGTTGATGCTCTCGGTCTAGCATGCTGTCACGAAAAATTTTATACTTTTTTGGAAATTTTGATGTTTTTTGCAAAAAAAAGGAACAGAACTGTGATGAGACAAAATCTCCCAGAAACGTTTTGAGCTTCTTTATTTCCTGGCGAAGCCAATTTAATAAAGTCATCTTCAAAACTGTGTGGAATTAAGCTAAGGAAAATTGTTAGTGAAAATTTGTTGGATGAAACTGTAGTCAGTCATCGATGGCACAAAAATTGGGAGTGGAGTTAGCATCATTTCACCAAGCTTAGGAAACTGCTTATTTTCCATGGATAAATTATCAAAGTCCCGAATATTTATTCTTTGATCGGATCTAATTACTTCCTTCCGCATCCTACGCTGAGGCAGACTCTAGGAAGAGAAGTTGGAAGAACGGAAAGGAGCAGTTGAAAACAGAAAAGAGAGAAAAAAAGGTAGAGGACTCATCGTGGAATATTCCTCTTTCGAACCTGCGATAGCTACGCTGGCCAAAATTGATATTGTGCAGTACTAACAAAGAGCTATGGATTGCCAAAGTTGAACCAGTAATCCATTTAAAATGACTACTGTAAAGACATAGCAGAATATAGAATGCTTGAACACTTCGAGAAAAAAAAGTATTGACGTCTTTTCCGCCACTGTTGCAGAGTAACCGTCCAAGCGAGCAAATTGGACCTGTTAATGAGATAGCTAACTGCAGACTGCTATTACTGCAGTTGTTTAGCAGGTTGGAGAAGGTGAGTTTTAGTGTAATAAGTTTTTCTTGTCAAGTCGTTGCACTTACCAAGCACCCATATTGCATAGACATCCCACCCTAATAGTGTCCGCAGACAATGGGAACCGAATCTTCAAAAACTGCGGCAGTTCCTACAGTGGCGAGTTTGGGAAGGATAAAATTCTGTGCGAACGCGGATTCCCAAAAAATCGGTACTTCATAGGGTTTTTGATAAAAGCTGCCGTTATTCGGCAGGTTTTTAGGAAGCTAATGGTAATTTTTTTTTCCAGAAGCTACTTAAGACCCCACATGAACTCTTTATTATCTGTCCGTATTACAGCGTCACTTTACTTGTTTATTATCATCTGCACCCTATTACAGTTAGACGTACCCAACACCAAGCATGCTTTCTTTAATCGTCAACCTAACTTCATTTTTCGCATGATTGGTAAACACTGATAAATTTATCTGTGATAGTTCCAGACTTGCTTACCTAGCTTTCGCCAACTTTTTAACGGTATTATGCTGAAATGTTGCCCTAGTCATGTTGCCATGCCACAACGGCGCCGTTCTAGTGGCGGGTGGTGTAATCGGCAGTATGGTCACTTTGTAACCGTGATTTTCGGAATTTGGGAACGGTTCCAATTAACCCCGTCACGACTGTTTTCTAGTCTGCTCCAGAGTACCTCTCTGATCACTCTTTTAGGACTCGGCAAGTGGCAGTACATTAGTCTATGTTTTAGGAAACGCTTTTACCGATTTATAAATCTCTTTAGCTGTTTCTTATTGTGAAAGCAGCAAAAAAAAACCTGAGCTGTAGAAGCTTAACAGCTACAATTTGTCCCCTATCTTTGTTTCACCTATTTTCTGTTTTGTGTTACTTCGTTCTGACTACGCTGCGTCTTTCATAATTTGTAGTCGCCTTTATTTGTTCTAACTGAAAGCTTTTTATAAGATTACTTTTCCCACGTTTTGTTAAGAAACAGCTACAGAAATTTCTGAAATGCTAAAAGCGGGCTTTTTTCTGGGATGTAAACTCATTTGATGCCATTCGTCGAGTTTGTTTTACAGGACTAAAACACTGTTATTAATAGGTGTTTTTGAACAGACTAGTAAATGGTTGAAAAATATAAGGAGTGGAAGTGGACGGCGGGTTGATCTGAACCAGCTTCGTGGAATGGCACGACTCATCGCACAGTCTGCAGTTCCAAGAACTGGTTCGTGAAGTGCCAGAAGGATTAAGGTGACATTTTAGCGTTAGGCTGTTAGAAATTAAGCAAAAACTAAATACACAATTCTTAAACTATAACAGATAGATTAAGCGGTTTTGAAACCCGTGCATACAAAATATGAATTTAGGTTGATAATCAAAAAAACGCGTTTGGGGAGTGGGCACGCTCAAATAAAATAACGGCACCATCTACTTTACTCATAATTTTATTCCCTAGTGTGTGGAGGATCAGAAGAAATCTGATTT